GGTTGAATCTTTGGTCTATACTTGCAAGCACACTGATTGTCCTAAAATGTGAGGGAAGACAGAGACTTCTTTTTATGCCGGTAAAATCACATGTTCCTTATTTTTAGATTCTCCAACTCGGTGTTAGAGACAATAGTTATTGTACCCAGGTAACAGACACAGTTAAGCCCATTTTTGCACTGTGGAAGATTATATTAAAGACGGTTAGATGGATGGAAGGTAACATTATATTAAAATATGAGAGAAATATTGATGTGTTGGCAATGTCATCAGAAAGACAGAACTGGTCCTGGGTATATAAAGGCATTCCTTTAAAACATTTAAGGCAAACTTAAGTCACAATAAAAAAGAATTATAAGAATGGCCAATTAACTGCAATTGGGGGTAGAGATAGTCATTGAACTTTGGGGGACAAATGATCAAGCTCCTATCCATGAAACTGCTAAAAAAACAAGACCACATCCTCCCAGGACACAGCTTGGGCTTAGTTAATAGCTTTAGCTTAATCTCAATAGAAAAAGCCCTACAGGAAGGGCGAGAGAGCATACTACAATCATTGAGTTCCAAATCGGAAGGTTCTAAGAGACTGAACCACCCAAAGAGAGGTAGAGTAACATGGTTCTAAGAGGAAGTGTTTTAAATAAGTGTTTATAACAAAATAGCGCTTTAAGGTTTTAAAGCACTTCATCTATTTTGTCTCCTTTGATCCTTACAACATCCCTGGGAGGTAAGTGCTATCGTTATCTCCATTTCACAAATGAGGAAACTGAGACAAATGGAGGTTAAGTGACTTTCCTAGGGTCATGCAGATAGCAAGAATCTGATTCAAGGGGCGGCTTGGTGGTGCAGTGAATAGAACTCTGGCCTTGGAATCAGGAGCACCCGAGTTCAAATCCAGCCTCAGACACTTAACACTTACTAGCTGTGTGACTCTGGGCAAGTCACTTAATCCAGATCACCTCACAAAAAAGAAAAATAAATAGATAAATAAAATCTGATTCAGAATTTGTATTCAGGTCTCCTTGACTCCGAGACTGGAGCTCTATGCACTGTGCCATCTTGTTGGATTTGGACATTGGATTTTCCATTCTGCTTCCAGGTTTCTTGAAGAGGATCCTCAGATGTTCCTGCTAGAATCTCTTACAAAACAGATCTCAATACAGATTTGCACAAACTTTCAAAATTTACTTCTTTAATAACTAGTTCATGTTGTGAAAAACAGCTCAAACCTTATAGTTCTGACCTTACTAACAATAGAGCTGTAAGTGGACATCTAATTTGGAGCCCTTAGTTCACCTGAAACTTCAGAGGATTTAGGTTACAAATACCCCCTGCTGTTTCTCCCTTTATCTGAACTCTTTGCCTGACATAAACATGGTTAACAACAACCCAAAGACCTGCTGTTACATTAATATATGTAAGATATCCAAATACAAACTCAACATTTTAAATACCTCAGAAGGCAAGAACTCTTAAAATTTTTCAAATTATATATATTTATTCAATCTTCTTGTTTCCTCAAAATTTTTACTATTTTTATTACTTTACAATTTTTACCAATTATTATTTTAGAATTCTAAATTTAAATACTACTTAATTTTAATTCTGATTCAATTAAATTATTCAATTATACCCTTCTCCCTCTACCCCCATGAGGAGCAGTGACAGATAAGGATTTTAATCCTCAAATAAAAACATAGGTTATAGAACACTTTTTTATAAGAAGATGACCTATGATTTTATTTTTTATTTTATTTATTATTTTATTTTAATGTAAATTGTTACATTAAAGATACCAAGTTAACTTTAATTATAGCAAAAGATGGGACTTAAGTAATCAATTTCAAAATAGTGCATATCAAATAAGTTAATTATAACAGACTTGTACCACAGGACATGCATTATGGTCAGATCTTATTTCCACATTAAATAATAAATTGAAATAAAAATGGACTTTTCCATTGGTGTAACACAAGTATTCCATGTATGTATATATATATATATAGAGAGAGAGAGAGAGAGAGAGAGAGAGAGAGAGAGAGAGCACAACAGGCAGATGACTAGGCCCATTTACTAAATTGTTTAGGATATAGAAAGGATTATAATTTTATGCTGAGTAGCTCAGATCTTACACATATGCATTTTGTACCCCATCCTTAGTCTAGTGAATAATGATTTAATATTGTGTTTTAATCTGTTTTTTTTTCCACAAACTTCTTTTACTTGGTCCAATCATTCAGAAAGAATGAGCTATTTCAGGAATTTAATCTTATACATGACTATGTCAGCATTAGCAAGCAGATGACAAACCCAAGTACTAATTTACTAAGTTGTTTAGGATATGAAATGACTACACATTTAGACTGAAAACAGTAAGATCTTACATACTTGCATTGTGCTCATATCTTATTCTGACCACTTGCTTTAATTATAGAAATTTGCTATAAAAGGCAAAAGCAGGGAATTGATTATAACAATATCAAACTCGTCCTTGATGACTCAACACATAAAGCATCCTTAGCTCTGTTTGACTTTGGGTAAGTGTCACAGCTGAAAACAAATCATGCGGTCACAATTCCACCTCATTGCCAGACTCAGGAATAGCCAGGTGGGAAACATCCCTATTCAAAATACACACACACACATATACATATTGCTGTATATATTTTATACATTGTGTATATGTACAATGGGGAAACTAAGCCAGAAGGATGCTATCTTAGGTTATGCCAAGGTTGTCCTCTTGACTTTTTCCCAGATACAGACCTCCACTGGTACAATTCAGGATCACATTCCCTCTGAGTAGTCTGTGGCATTTCTCTTGAATGGTGGACCAAAAAGTTATATTATGTCAGCCACACCAGCACGTGCATAAATATACATCCCCTTTATTATCTACCCTCTAAAGTATTTAGGTCTTTTCCCTTAAATAATAAGGGGCAATAGGTGTTTGAAAGCCCTCTCAGGAGTGCTAAAAATCCTTTGCTAGCCTAGGTTTAGAATTTTGTATATTTGACCTTTCTGCCAATTCAGGGCCATATAGCTATAGCATGTGACCCATGGCAGTCCCCTTGGGGGTGACAAAGCCATCTTTGGATACCTTAGTACCCATGGGAACACTCACACAGAGAGAAACAAATAATAGTTAAAAAAAAAGAACCTAAAATTTTATATTCAATATACATAATTTTATCAATCAGATACCCACAAGAACCAGAGCACTTGATTTTATTGAGCGTCCTTCCACTACACTTCTGCTGGCCACCTCCAGACACAGGGTCCCAAAACCTAGCCCTCTTTGGCTACCCCTCAGGCCAGACAACCCCGGAAAAAGAGCCCTTCCTATGGCTCTCTTTGTCAGAGACTTTCAGCTTGTGACAACCAAACCTAATCTTGTCCTAGCTAGGATAACCATTATCATCATCCAGCCCAATTATACAGATCAGACTTTCAAATCTGCTTCACCTGGGATATCCTTAAAAAATAAAACAAAACAAACCAAACCTTACCTGTCTCCCTTCAGCTGCAGACAACCTAATTTCTCTTGTAATAGGGCACTCAACTGAAACACAGGGGAGTCTGAGATATGAGTGGAAAAGTGAGACTCCCCAAACCAGAGATCTGATACAGGTGAGGCACCATTAAAAAAACAAACAAAGAAGCAGTAACAACAGCAACAAAAACATGCTGGTACCTAGCACTAAATCTGAAGCCTCTGGTGAGTCACTTTCATTATATCCCACTACTGCCACCATTTACTAAAAGCAATATCATAAGTCCGTGAAACGTTGCACTTCAACTAGATTTATTACAAGAGAAATGACCATGCATGTAAAACCCAAAGAATTTACAATTCATACAGAAGTTTGCATATTTATGACAGTATAACAAAGACAAGAGAAGGAAACAAAAATCTCCACCTGAAGAGGCATGGCACAGGAGAAAAGGTTCAGTAAAGGTGTGGAAATGACAAGGCCCCTCCCAAAAGGGAGGAACAAGGCAATGGCAAAAGCAGCACTCCTTTCCCTTGGGAATGGCTAGACCATGAAGATGTGCTGGTCTGTTTATCTGCAAGGGTCCCAGCTACACAAGCACTTTCTCAGCCTAGTGCAGACTGACTGGCACCTGTCTTGACTCCCAAGGACCCACAGGGCGTTCACCTCTAGATACAAACAGCAAATTATGTCAGCTCAGGGGGCTTCATCCTTGACACATTCAGGGCCTCTTGCATACTCTGCGTCCAGTGTTACTAGAAAATATGGCAACTCAAAAAGACAAGTTCTGGGGAATCCTTAATGGCACTTCGCACAGTAGTAACTGCTAATACACATAGTAGGTGCTTAATAAATGCTTGACTTGATGAGGAAATGAATAATACTGAAAGCAGATGAACCTGTGATAGCTTAAGTCTCTCTATGTTGTGATTCAGCTCATCTCCAAGCATCTCTAAGCTCATCTCTAAATACCAAGGGAAGAGGTTTTACCTCTCAGACTCAATTCATATATTAAATATTGGAAAACTTAATTTGTTTGGAAAATTTAAGTAAAAACAAAGATGGATGGGAGTCTCAATATCTTCTTTCCATGTTCCAAATGATCATGTGGGAAGCCCTCGGGAGACACATACCTCACTTTGTAGACTACTGTCTAGAGAGTGATACAGACAACTAACACCATGGACTGTTTTCCATTTCTGATTTTGATGCTTTATCTCCAGCAGTTCTCACATAGTAGGTGCGTAATCAGTGCCTGTAGAATTGAACTCAATTCACTGAACTGAAGTTAACTGAAAAGGTATTCAGAGAAATATGAAGTCACTTTGGACTGGGATTGTTGGTTCTACCTCTAAAGACTGACAGACATTTTTTTTTAATTTTCCGACTTTGACTTAGCAAACTCCTTTTCATTTCCCCATCAATAAACTGGTCCTACTCCAACTCATCTTAGAGTTGCTATTGTCAGATTAAAATCTGCAAGTAATAGAAACTGAAGCAAATGAGTTCCAAGCATGATTGGTTTATTAACGATGGTAGCAATTTGCCAATAAAATGGGTCTGAAACCACCTCATTTGGTACAAGGACCTCATTGTGAACTCACAGAGCATTTTTATAGGTATAATGGAGGAACATTAGAAAGAGGAGCATGAACAATAAATGAGGAACATTGATCACTTTGGTTCACGTGGGCATTTGCATTTTCTGATTGGCTGGGGTATTCTAAGAGTTTCCAGTATCAGCATGGAAAGCTACATTGTGTAAGTATCTCTGAAAAGAATAGGGAACCTTTACAGGAATTTTAACAGGTTAGCAATACTCAATGTGTGGTCATTCCTAGCTGTATGTGAATGCAATTAATTATGGAGTAATTATGATTTATCATCTATAACAAGACTTTTAGTAGGAATAAGGAACCCAACTCATTAGCTGATGGATTAATGTTTCACACTGTGAAAGTCAAAGGAAAATATGAATATGAAAATGAGTGGTTTAGAGACAAAACAATCCTCAATATTTATTGGGTTCTTTCTCCATGCCAGGTACCGGGTTGGATGCTGTAGATCCAAAAACAAAGAAAACAGTCTCTGCACACAAGGAGCTTACAGTCTATAAGAATCTCTAAGGATCATCCTCTTTAACCTGTTAATTCCTCCTGTAACTCATGTAAACTCTCTGAACTCTCTCCTAAAATCACATCTACTGTATGATTTATAAGAGCACGAGAGAAACAGATAATTAACCAAACCAAAAAAAAAAATTGGCCCAACTGATTGAGGCAGCAGAGAAAAATCATTGATTCTCTGTTCATAGCATCACAAGATTTTATATTTAGAACTGGAGGGGACCTTAGAGATCTTCCTCTTCCTCGTTTTAGATGTGGAATCAAGTGACTTGCTCAAGGTCACCCAGGTAGTAATTGGCGGGGCTGGGATTTGAACCCAGGTCCTTGGACTCCAAGCCCAGCAAGGAATCCTTGTGCTTTCCTTTGGATGGAGTTAATGCCTCTCCTTTTTCAGTGCAGGAAGCTTCAAATTGGGCCACCTCCTTTTGTCTCTCTCTTTTCCTTGATTTCTCTCCCTTTCCACTCAAACAGCAAAGGGCAGGGTGGGTGACCTTGGAGGATGAGAATGGTTCCATGTCCTTCCCTCCTTCCCTTGGAAGACCACCCTACAGGCCTAGTTTGGCCTACATCGCTCGAGGAAGGGCACAGATTTTGTAGGAGACGGGAGAGAGGGTTAAGCCATATCTGAAGTCCTGGCTCAGCTGGGTGTTTGGGGGAGGCTGGAACGTGAATTTCTGGAGCAGGCAAGTGAAGAAAAGGAAGAGCTCAGTCCGAGCCAACAGTTCTCCCAGGCAGACCCTCTTTCCTGAAAGGCAAGGAGATGAGAAAGGAGCAAATCCACTAATGCTCAGCACTGGCAGTGGGTCAGGGTTGGGGTCTCCAGGTCCTGGTCTGAATCCTAGCACTGGGATGGGCACTAAGGCTATTCAGTGACTTGTCCACAGCCACAGTGCTAATAACAGTCAGAGATGGCATTTGAGCCCATCTTCCTTGCTTCAGACACCACATCTACCGTGCCATGCTACTGCCAACCTCAGAGACTTCCTACAGGTGAAAGACTGCATCTGTCGCCAGAGGACCTGAGTTCAGATCCCACCTTGGATGCCCCTCAGCAGGGTGGCTTTGGACAAGTCACTTAACCTGGGTGGGCCCAACTTTCCTCATCTGTGAAATGATAGAGCTGAATGATGTGGCCTCCAAGGGCCCTTCTAGGTCTGGATCTAAGATCCTGCTTCTGTGTAGCTTCAGGACAAACAGGGCCATTCTTTGAATTTAAACCAGGCAGGTGCATTGGAGAAAGTGTAGGAACTGGGGTCAGGAAGAACTCAGTCTAAATCCTACCCCTGACACTTAGAAGCTGTGTGACCCTGGGCAAGTTACTTAACTGTTCTCAGCCTCAGTTTCCTCATGTGTAAAATGTGGATAATAATAGCACCTAGCTTACAATATACAGATATAAAAGGCTTTAAAAGACTATATAAATACCAGTTTTTGCTACTACTAGTAGTAGTACTACTATTACTATTACTATTAGTAATACTACTACTATTACTATTAGTATTAGTAATACTGCTACTATTACTATTGCTATTAGTAATACTACTACTATTACTATTAGTACTACTACTACTACTACTATGACCACAATTATGATTAATATTGTTATTATCTGTCACATGCAAACAATATCAGTATGTGCCTCACTGGGGTGTTGTGAAGGCTGAATGGGATAATGCACGTCAGGCCTTTGTTATCCTCACAGTCTTGATCTGCTCTCACCACCATCATGGAAAAAACCTCTGATCCCGGATTCAGAAAACCCAGCTTGGGTCTTGCCTCTGACACTCACTAGCTGGGTGATGTCAGGCCAGTCACAAGCACTCGGGGCTTGAAGCCACTCTCTAAGACTTGAGAATGAAGAGAAAGTTCTGACCTGTCTCTGGCAGGTCCTACCAAGGAGGAAAGACTATGATGGGCAGTGGGTCCATTTTCTCAGAACCAGCTTGACTGGAAGCTATCCACTCTCCTGAAAGAGGAGGCTTAGGAAGAAGGAGACAGAAGTGAACAGACTCCATTAGCTCTGCAACCAGCCTTGATTATGTCTGGATGCTAAGTGAACACCTGGTCACCTTTCCCAAAGGCATGAAGGAGCTGTCCTCTCTCCTTTCTCTCATGAAGCTCACATCATTTCTGATGGGAGAAGGTGGCAGTCTGGGCATCAGGAGACTAAGTCAGTGTGCCAACCCCCTCAGTGTTGTGATAAGAGCTGGCCGAACCAGCTGTCTGGTGTCATGGAAACAACTGAAGGGTTAACTGAATGATCCTGTGACTTTTCAACACCCCTGAGGTTCCAGCCTGTTAGTGTTTCTCTGAGAAATTTCAGGCAAGCAGCATCTCTCTTTCCACTTTCCACTTGGCGTATGGAAGAAAAGACATAATGTAGACTCATATCCAAATGGACAGAGGGCAGGCATTGGAGCCAGGAGGATCAGAGAGTGAGAGCTCAAAGGGACCTCAGAAAGCCTTCTGGTCCAGCTCTCTCAATTTACAGATTTGGAAACTGAGTCTCAGGGAAGTTAAGTGATATCATTATGTCCTTCCCTCCCCCTTTAGATAATAGACACAAAATCTTCCAAAATCTCTAGTGATTTCAGGTTTACAAAGTACTCTAGCACAAGCATCATCGCATCCAGGTAAGCCATGAGCTAATTAATTCATTGAACAAACCTTTAATAATAATAATGGCTCACACTTATGAAGTGCTTTAAAGTGGGCAAAGCCTTTAAAAATATTTTTTGATTTAACCCACAAAACAACTCTGGAACGTAGGGGCTATCATTATCCCCATTCTAGAGATGAGGAAATTGAAGCAACCAGTGGTTAAATGATTTGCCCAGCTAATAAGTGTCTGAGGCTGAATTTAAACTCGTGTCTCCCTGATTCCAAGCCCAGTACTCTATTCATTGTATCACCTAGCTGCCTAAATTACTATTAAGCACTTACTATATGCTAGGCACTAAGAGAAGTGTTGGAGATAAAACGAAGAAGCAGAAATGGTTCTGGCCCTCAAGGAGCTTACATTCTAATTAGAAAGAGGATACCATACTCATAAATAGGTACATATGAGATACACACAGAGAAGAGGGAGCAGGAAGGGTGTCCTGGAGGAAGTGGCATTGGACCTGGATCTTGAAGGAAGCCAGAGATCCCGACATGTGAAAATGAGGAGGGAGGCATTCCAGGCCCGGGGGACAGTCAGTGCCAAGGCATGGAGTCAAGAGATAAGGATGGTGTGCACAGAATAGCCCCCAGGAGTAGATGGTGGAGAGGAAAGGCAAGATGGGACCAGGTTACAAGGAGCAGTCAATCTCAGGGCAGTTCATATTTGATCCTATAGGCAATAGGGAGGCCTAGGAGCTTGTTGAGCAGGGGGGAGGTCAGGGCGTAATATGGGCAGACCTACACTTTAGGAAATTCATTGTGGCAGCTGGGTGGAGGACGGATTGGTTTGGGGAGTGATGTGAAACAAGGAGATCATGTGGGAGCCTCTTTCAGGGGTCCAGGTGAGAGATGATGAGAAATAGGCCCCATAGGGATGATAACACTTTGGAAACTGTAAAGCATAATATAAATTACCTATCTATTAATTATAATAAAGATTTAATATATTTTAATAATTTAAAATAAGATCTATTTTAAAATTTGAAATTTATTAAAATAAATGAAATTTGTTCACTTCAATTTATTAATTTTTGTATACATTTGATGTTTTGATAATTTTTTAAAATAAATTTTTGTGAATGTAAGTTTGTAAGTGAAGGAAATAAACAGGACTTGATGCCTCAGAAGTCATCCAGTACAGCCCCTGAAGGAAGGACACCCCCAAATGATATGCTCGACAAGTGAGCATGCCACCTCCAAGGAGGACGAATGAGGCTACCCAGCTTGGTAGGACCTTGTTGTTCCTACCTCCATCCCCTTGCACAGCATGGGCTTCTGCCCCAGATCAGTTGGCACCTTCTCCTCCTCCTGCCCTTTAGAACCCCCAACTTCATTCCAAGTTCAGCTCAGAGACTGCTTCCAGTTGTAAGGGCTTTCTCCTTACTGAAAATCTTTGTATTTACTTAGGATCAGAATATCACAGATTTGAGAGAGTAGGGGACCTTCCAGGCCCCCTACCCCAATCCCCTCACTTGTTAGAGATGAAAGAAACAAGCCCAGAGAGGATCTAAGTCCCTGCAAGTCATACAACTAAGAAGAGGCATAACTAAAACTCAGATCATCTGGCTTTGAATTCCTGGGATTTTTGGGACATGGCTTCAGAGCTGGAAGGAACCTTATTGGTCATCTAGTTCAATCCCTTCATTTGATAGATGAGGAAACTGAGGCCCAGGATGTTTAAGTAAGGTCTCTCAAGGATATCCAAGGGGAGAGTGCCAGAGTTTGTGGGTGGTGGGTACTTCTGGGGGAATTCTGGGGTCCTAGAAAAGGGTCTGTAAAACCATCAGGCAAAACTGGACCTGAGGATGAAACTTTCCTCACTTCAACCACATTGCTGTTCTCTAAAAGTGCAAACCAGCCCTCACTGTCAGGATGGCCATGCCTTTTGCACAGTAGCTAGAGGTATTGTTTTCACATGGTTGCAGGTGCTCTTGTGGTGAATAAAATACAAATGCACTCAAGAGATTTGCTGAGTCCATCCCACCTTGGCATCCAGGAAGCGTAGTGGACAGAGTGCAGGGACCTGGGGGTGATTTTGTCTGTGACACTTCAAAACTGTGTAACTATGGGCAGATCACTTAACCTCCCTGAATTTTAGTTTCTTCATATGTAAAATAGACAGTGATACTACCTACCTCATGGGGTGATGTGAAACTCCAAAGGGATGTTATCTGTTTTGTAGAATTTATAAAGTTATGTAAACGTCTACTATTTTAAATTTTGTTGCGATGTATTTTCCCAATCAATGAATATGACTAGTATATGCACCACTGTGTGATTGTTGGTTTCAAGAATTAGATTCTGCAAAGTTTCTTAATGTTAAAAAGATTGGTGCTCACTGGCCTAGGGCCCCCTTCGTACTGATTGTGGCTCACCTGTTGAGAAAGGCAGAAAGGACTCTCTCTTCTTAAACTGACCGTTCTCAAGAAAATGTTCTGGGTTGAAGGTTTCTGGGGTAGCCCACTCGTTGGGGTCCCTGTGCAAGGCAGTCAAGTTGGTCATCATCATGGTGCCCTGGGAACAAGAGAAAAGAACTGAGTCCAAGGAACTTTGAGGCAGAAGAGAACTGGCCCACACTCTCATTTTACAGAAGAGGGAATTGAGGGTCAGGAGGGGCAGAGCAGCCAAGGTCACACAGCTCATTACTAGCCAAGCCCTTTGTAGAACTCAAGACATCTTAGAGAAGGGCTCCCAAACCGTTTGTAGTCATAGACCCCTTTGGAAGGCTGACAGAGTCTTTGGACCCCTTCTCAGAATCATGTTTTAAAATTAATCCAATAAAACAAAGAGGATTACAAAAGAAATGGAGTATTTACAAATTCTACCATCATGATCTAAACAAAACTAAATAAAATATTGAGTTCATGGACCCGAAGTTAAGAACTCTGGCCCTAAAGAGTCATAAATTTAGGAATGGAAGAAATTGAAAAGGTCATTTGGTCCTTCCCTCTCATTTTACAGATGAGTAAACTAAGACGTGGAAAGGTAGACCGACTCAAGATCCTCCAGGTAGCATCAGAAAGGGGAGACGGACCCAAACTGTCTTATTCTAAACTCCCATTTGGGGGCAAGCATGGTGCCCAACAGCAATGGGTGACTTGTCTTCCATGTGGCCTCTGCCCCATCCAAGACCACATCCTACCCAATGCCTACTTATTAATTAGGTGGTAAACACCCAGGAAAGGGTGTTGATTCAGCTGTCCTGGCCAGGTCCCAGGAGTGCACTCCAGGGGATGGGGGATGCAAATAACTCCTTCAGAATTCTGTGCTTGGTGTCTGTCTGAGTCTCTTTACCCACTGCGACTGAGGAACCATTGCTGTCTGACTAAATGTGATTTGTTTTGGCAGAAGAAATTGGGGAAGGTCCACACTACACCCATTATGCTCATATGACTCTAGAGTCCAGAACAGTTGGAAGGAGATTTTATGATCATCTACGCAAACCCTCTTATATTTCAAATGAATAAGCTGAGGCCCACTGATCTGTCACTCAGAGGGATGTCACACATGGGGAAGCCAAGTGGACATAAGGAATTTAAACACAGGATTGAAACTAGGCTTGAAACCTAGTCCCTCTGCCTCCAAATGGAGTGGTTTTTTTCTCATCCAACTGTAAGAATAAACTATTTTAAGATTCTAGGACAATGTTTCTTCGCTTTTTTTTTTTGGTGAGGGAATTGGGGTTAACTGACTTGCCGAGGGTCACACAGTTAGTAAGGGTTATGTATCAGAGGTTGGATTTGAACTCAGGTCCTCCCTACTCCAGGCATGGTGTGTTATCCACTGCACCACCTAGCTGCCCCCAAAATATATATATTTTAAAGCCCAAGGTCATGGGCCCTTGGCCAAGATCCTTTGTTCTACAGTCTGTGCTTTTTGTTTCACCTTCTTCTACCCTTTCCCCCAGGGCAGATGGAAGCCATGAAGCCCCTTCAGGTTCATGGGAGAAAAGCCATTTACCTTTGGCACGTAGTATCCTGCCACTGTAGTATCAACCGTGGCCACCCTGGGCACATTGAAAGGAATAATATTACCCATTCTCTGAACTTCATGAATGGCTGCATTAGTGTAGGGCATATTCTCCTTATCAGCCATGGTGGGCTGCCTTGACTGGCCAACCACCCGGTCAATCTCAGCTTGTATTTTGCCTGCAAAGAAAAGGTAGAGTTTTTTGAGACCCAAGTAAGAACTCACATATAGAGAGTGCTTTAAAGTTTGTGAAACATTTCACAAATATTATCTCATTTGATCCTCATAACAATGCCAGGAGGACAGTGAGATTATTATCCCAATTTTATAGGTTAAAATGAGGCAGATATAATTTAAGTGACTTGCTCAGAGTAACAAATCTAGGTAGATTTGAACTCAGGGCCTTCTTTCTCCTCCCATCCAGTTTTCTCTGATCACATGGGAAAATCACAGCCACATCTGTGGTTGGATGAAAGTTTGGCTTGATCCTTCACCAAAGGTTCTAATCCCCATGATCTAGAAATGTGGAGACTTGACTGATTAATGTCTAATAATGAAGTTTGTGTTGTTGGGAAGACATCCAGGAACGTGGTACCATGGAGAGCATAAAAGAGTTAGAGACAGAAGACCTGCATTCCAATTTCAGCTTTACCCCTCGCTATCTGAGTGTCCATGGGTAAGTCACTGAACCTCTTGTGGCCTCATTTTCCCTGTCTCTAAAAGGATCAGGTCAGACTAGACTGTTTTTAATGTCTTCAAATTTATTTATGTATATTATATTTATTTATATAGATTTATGTTTAGGATCCAATGATCTCTGACTTCCAAGCCAACCAGATGTAGAAGGCAGTTTTGAAGAACAGGCTGGTAATTTTAGAAGATAATTTGGCTCCCTCTGTGAGCTTATCCCTGACAAAGCATTTGTGATGAATCATGCAGACACAAACAAAGTATTTCAAGTCAATTCAGCAAGCATTTATTAAGCACTTACTGTGTGTCAGGAACTATACTCAACACTGAGAAGACAGAAACACAAAAGACAGTCCCTACTTCAAGGTGCTCACAGTCTAATGATGGACACAACATGCAAACAAAGCACCTGCAGGATAAATTGGAGATAATCACAGAGGGCAGTCACTAAGATTAAAGTGGATTTGGAAAGGCTTTTTTGTCAAAGATGAGCTTTCATCTGGGACTTGAAGGACACCAAGAAAGCCAGGAGGCAAAGATAAGGAGGTAAAGTGTTCCAGGAATAAGGGAACAGCCAGAGAAAATACCCATAGCAGAGAGAGGGAGGGTCTTGTTGGTGGGACAGCTAAGAGGCCAGTGACACTGAATCAAAGAATAGGTTTCAAGGAGTAAGGTATAAGGAGACTGGGAAAATAGGTGGGGTCCAGCTTATTAAGGACTTTGAATGCCAAACAGAGCATTTTATATTTGATCCTGGAGGTGATAGGGTGACATTGGAGTTTATTGAATGAGGGAAATCACTCAACAGTGATTGAATGAGGATGAATTGGAGTGGGGAGAGACTTAAAGTAGGCAGACCCACCCCAGGCTGTTGCAATAGTCCACGTGTGAGGAAATATCAGCCTGGACCAGGGTGAGGATAGTGTCAGAAGAGAGGACGTATTCAAGGGATCTTCCAAAAGGGAAATCAGCAGGTCTTGGCAACAGATTAAATGGGGGGTGGTGGTGAGATAATGAAGAGTTAAGAATGACTCCTAGGTTTCAAGACTGAAGAACTGGGAGGACCTTATCGCCTGTAAGTAATAGCAAAGATAGGAGGGGAGGAGGGTTTAAGGGGAAAAGAATGTGTTCTGCTTTTTACGCATCAAGTTTAACATGTCTCTAGGACATGCATTTTGATATTTCCAATAGGTAGTTGGAGATGAGAGAGTGGAGGTCAGCCGAAAGCTTATGGTTGGATAAATAGACTTGAGAATTTTTAGCGTACAGATGATAATTGAATGCATAGGAGTGGAGGAAATCATGAAGTGAAATAGCATAGAGGGAGAAGAGAAGGCTCAGGACAGAGCCCTGTGGAAAGTATATGTGTGACCTAGACTAAGATCTAGCAAAGGAGACTAAGGAGTGGTCAGATAGATGGGAGGAGGACTTGGAAAGAGTGTCCTGAAAATCTGGAGAGAAGAAGGAACCCAGGAGAAAAAGGTGATTGGCAATGTGAAAGAGAGGTAAAGGTAGATGAAGACTGAGAAAAAGTCATTCTATTTGGCAGTTAAAAGGTCATTAGTTATTTTGAAAAGAGTGGTTTCAGTTGAATGATAAAATTGGAAGAGACTAGAGAATCAAGAAGAGTGAGATGAATGGAAGTGGACACATCTCTTGTAAATGGCTTTCTCGAGGAGTTTAGCCCCAAAAGGGAGAACCAATATGGGACAATAGTTAGTAGAGATAGATCAACTGATTTTTTTTTCCAAGATAGGAGAAGACAGGGCATATTTATAGGCCATAAGGAAGCAGTCAGTTGACTGGGGGAGTGATTGGAGATAAAGGAGAGAGTGAGAAAGACAGATATGACAATCTGCTAAAGAAAATGGGATGGAATGGGATCACTTGTGCATCTAGAGGAGCTGGCCTTGGCAAGGAGAAGGGTCACCTTTTCATGTCAGATAGGGGTGAAGGAGATAGTAGTGGCAGAAGGCATCTGGGTCATGTGAGATGGGGAGTAGGGGATAAGAAGGAGCTTGTGGTGAATAGTCTCAAGATTTGTAGGAAAATGAACTGATGCAAATGAAGTGAGCAGAACCAGGAGAAGTTGTACACAGTAACAGCAATATTGTACAATAAATAACTATGAATGACTTAGCTGTTCTAGGCAATACAAAGATCCAAGAAAATCCCAAGGGACTAATGATGAAGCATACTATCTGCCTCCAGGGAAAGATCTTCTATAGTCTGATTATACTCTGAAGCATGATATTTTTTACTTTCTTTATTTCTTTCATTTTTTAATTCAAGTCTTCTTGTAAAAATGATTAATATGGAACTGTTTTATATGAGTGTACATGCATAACCTATATCTGATTGCTTACCATCTCAGGAAGAAAGAAGGGGAAGGAAGGAAGGAGGGAGGGAGGGATAGAATTTGAAACTCAAAACTTTAAAAAATTTAAAAATCATTTCAACATGCAATTGGAGAAAAAATCATTCATATGTGTATAATGATTTATAATAAAATATGAGGTCAGTTTCTCAGAAAGTGTTGGTAGAGACGGAACCATACTCCCATGAGAGGGAATGAGAAGATTTGGAAGAGCTGCTGCAGTGAATAGGAAAATTAATTAATTAGGGAAATGTAAAAGGATTTTCTTGCAACTATAATTCTGAGATTATGTAAGATAGATTTGTAGTGTACACAATCTGGTTTCGTGATTTTCTTTATTTTAATTTAATAACACATGAGTGAGACTGCAGCCCAGTGATGGTGAAAGTGATCCAAGCCTGATGCTTGACAGGACAAGACAGATGATGCCATAATGGGACAAGTGTAGATTGAACTGGTTCAGCAACAGGTCAAGATGGAAAAAGGAGGAGAATGTGGCTAGTGCAAGGGTGACTTCCAGGGAGGGAAATGACTGAGGAGTCCAGAGATTTGCAGTCAAGGAAAGCAGAGGGAGAGGTGGAATATCTATAGATTGAGATCAGATAAGATTATTTCAGAATTCATGAATTCAGAAAGTGGTATATTTGTGGGCAATGACCAGATCACCCATTTAGAGTAGCTTATAACCATAATATATTTGAATATTAAAATGTAAATAATATGTAATAAAATAAATATAATGTATAATGTATAATAATATGTAATACAACTATGTTAGAGTAGCTTATAACTAAGTTAATGCTTATTGTCAATGTGATTCTTAGCACCAATGTGATTCTTAACCCATTTCTCATCATTCTGCCATGGTCATTGTAGAAGCAGGAGCTGACTGCAGAGGGCTGAAGGTCATTTTGTATCATTCTTTGTGTCATGAAATGCTATGGCCTTGGAATTCAGCTCCCAGTGTTCAGCCTCCTGGGATGAGCTGCCTGGTACTTATTTAAGCTTGGTTTCAGGATATATGTCCCAACTTTTAGGACTATGTTCTATGCCTTTCAATTCCCTTCAATAAATGCTTAGTAAGCATCTACTATGTGTTAGGCACTTTGCTAAGCCCTGGGGATAAAAGAGTGTGCCCTCAAGGAGCTTGCCTTTCCACCATGGTAGACCCTGCAAGAACCATCTATTGCACTGACATAGACTATGAGGTCCAGTGTCACTTTGACACCACAGGAAGGCATTAGAGGAGATCTTTGTGGAGACTTTTCTCACCTCAAGCCCAAATTTGGCATCCTGCAACTTCTACCCATTGCAAGGACTTCTACCCACAAGGGCCAAATGGAATAAGCTGAATCCCTCTTTTATATAAGAGCACTTCAAGTACTTGAAGGCTGCCATCATGTCTCCCTTAAGTCTATGCTGTTTTGAATGAAAGCTGAGAACCAGAGAACTATCTTACTTCTGCTGATTTTTCTCCTATTTATTCTGTCTGTATCTCTTTTATCCATAGCTATTCGCATGTCATCATAGTCTAATGGTGGACTATGAGAACAGGGACTAGTTGGTTGTTGTTGGATTTTTTTTGGTCTTTCTTGGTATTCCTAATACTTAGGGGGTAGGGTGGGGGTGGGGTGCATCTCCAGTTGTTCTGATTTGTATCTTGCCACTGGATTCGCATGATTTGGGAGGAGAAAGTTAGACGGGCTACTTTTCACAGCCCTGCCTAACTTAAATCCAATTCACTCGCAAGTCATGGCATCACCTTCTTGATGCCATGTTACTCTTTGAGAATGAAGGACTAACAACAACAATACTTAGTGCTGTGTGTAGCACATAGTAGGTACTTTAAAAATGTTCATTTACAGACTGAAATGCTTTTCTCAAAATCTCATGACTATTTAGATGAGAAGCCTGGACTAGAAAACAAACTTCTGACTTCTAATTGAGTTTTCTGTCACCCCCAGATCCTTGCAAGGAGGGAAGCATTGCTTCATTCTTTGTACTTTGTACTTGTATTTCCAGTACCTGGCACACAGTAGGCACTTAAGTACTTGATTTTGTTTCCATGATGCTAATTGGATGCTAAGAACACTACTTTGGAGTATTGTCTCAGATAGGTACAAGGGATATTCCATTCTGGGTAGTACTTTAAGTGGAACCTAAATATTTCTGGTCCAGGTGTTTCCAAACTGAGAGCTGTGGATTTCTCTAGGCAGTTATCGCTAGGGATCTACCAATCCATATTTGGTCCGTGAATCCTTATTCTGATCTTTAACTTAAGGAAGATCTGAGACATATCACAGTATACCAGACAAGGAAATATAACTTTTGATCCTACCTTTGAGAAAATGAATCTCTTGATGGAGAGGCAAATAGGGGTTCCTGGAGATGAACCCTGGGCTTGGAATCAGGATAATCTGCATTTAATCTCATCTCAGAATCCTTCTACCTATGAGGTCCTGAGGAAAACACTTAATTTCTCTCAGCCTCAGTTTCCACATTTGTAAAATGAGGGGCTTTGGACTTTACCTCCTCTAAGATACCTTCCGATTCCAAATCTAAAGACCTTAGGACCTTCTGTAGACTCAATTAATAATGTATCCTTCACTGAAGTATTTCTATTTTGAAATCTGTGGAGATTTTTCATATTTGATAGGATACAAATACATCTTAAAATATTACTTTTTATCACATATCTTTTCAATAAAAATAGTTATAGTGCACTAAAATAATAATTAACAATATTAAAACAATATCTGGTATTTATATAACACTTTAAGGCTTACAAAGTGCTTTATTTTTGTCAACTTGTTTGATCCTCATTACAACCCTATGAGATAAGGGATATTATTCTCACCATTTTATAAATGAGGACTCAGAGGTTGAGAGAATTTATGTGATTAGCTCAGAATCATATGGTTAGTAAGTACCTGAGGCAGGATTTGAACTTTCATCGTCCTGACTCCAAATTCTATATTCTACTGCCCTTGGCCACAACTACCATCATATAGGGAGCTGAAGGAAATGATGTTAGAAAGGGTTCCACATGATTATAAAAACTGGCAATCATTGTTCTATTCCAATGAGAATTAAAACAAAAAGATGATGTATGTAAAGTGCTTGGCAAACTTTCAAACTCTCTATAACTGGGACAGGGGTGCATAGCCTGGGGCTATTACTGTACCTTGGATCTCTGGATAAAGGGCCATATATAGCAGTGCCCACCTCAGAGTGGTCGAAGTTGTCTCTGTTCCAGCAAAGAAGAGGTCCAGGGTGCAGACAACTAATTGTTCTTCATTGAAACTAGAATGGATATTATCCTTAAATGAAAAAGTCAAGGATTAGTTGGTTAATCCAAAAAAAAATTATGGCTGTCTCCAAGCATGAGGAGCTGTACCCTAAATTGGGCCTTGGGAAGGTCAAGATGGCAGATCCTGGGCTTCCCTTTAATAGGAATTCAATACTGTATTCAAGAATACAGTAACTGCTCCTAAGATTGAGAGCTCCTAATTCTATTTTTTTTCCTTTGAAATATTATTTTTTCCAATTACATGTAAAGACCATTTTAACATTCTCTTTTTAATATAAAATTTTGAGTTCCAAATTTTCCCTCTTCTTGCCTTCCTCCCCTCTCACTAAGATGATAAGCAATTTGATATAGGTTATATATGTACATTCATGTAAAACACATTTTCATTAGTCATATTGTGAAAGAAGAAATAATAAAAGGAAGAAAACCATGAAATAGAAAATAAAGAAATTGAAAATAGTATGCTTTCATTTGCATTCAGATTTCATCAGTTCTTTCTCCAAATGTGAACCATTTTCCATCATGAGTCTTTTGGACTTGTCTTGGATCATTGAATTGCTTTGAAGAGCTAAGTCAATCACAGTTAATCATCGCACAGTCTTGCTGATACTGTGTGTGATGTTCTCCTGGTTCTGCTCACTTCACTTTGCATCAATGCACATAAGTCTTTCCAGCCTTTTCTGAAATTCACCTGCTTGTCATTTCTTATAGCACAATAGATTTCCATTACATTCACATACCATAACTTGTTTAGTCATTTCCCAGTTGAGGAGTATTGCCTCAATTTCCAATTCTAATTCCACCACAAAAAGAGCTGCTATAAATATTTTTGTACATGTTCATCCTTTTCCCTTTTTTTTACGATCTCTTTGCAATATAGACCTACTAGTGGTATTGCTGGATCAAAGGGCATGCACAAATTGATAGCCTTTGGGCATAGTTCCAAAGTACCCTCCAGAATGGATGGATCAGTTTACGACTCCACCAACAGTGCATTAGTGTATCAGTTTTCCCCCATTCTCTACAGCATTCATTGCTTGCCTTTTCTTTCATATTAGCTAATATGATAGGTGTGATGTAGTACCTCAGAGTTGTTTTAATTTGCATTTATCTAATCAATAGTGATTTAGCACACTTTTTCATATGACTATAGACAGCTTTGATTTCTTCATCTGAAGACTGCTTATTCATACCTTCGACCATTCATCAATTGGAAAATGACTTGTATTCTTATCAATTTTTCTCAGTTCTCTATATGTTTGAGAAATGAGACCTTTATCAGAGATACTGGCTGTGAGGATTGTTTCCCAGCTTTCTGCTTTCCTTCTAACCTTGGTTGCATTGGTTTTCTTTCTGCAAAATCTTTTTAATTTAATATAATAAGATCATCAGTTTTATATCTCATAATACTCTCTATCTCTTGTTTGGTCATAAATTCTTCCCTTCTCTATAGATCTGACAGGTAAAATATTCCTTGGTCTTCTCATTTGCTTATGGTATCATCTTTTTGTCTACATCATGTGCCCATTTTGACCATATCTTGGTATACAGTGTAAGATGTTGGTCTATACCTAGTTTCTATTTTCAAGTTTTCCCAGAAGTTTTTGTCAAATAATGAGTTCTTATCCCACAAGCTAGTGTCTTTAGATTTATCAAACACTAGATTACTATGGTAATTTACCACTCTGTCTTGTGTACCACATCAGTTCCATTGAACCATGACTCAAGTCTTAGTCAGAACGAGACAGTTTTGATTATTGATGCTTTATAAAATATTTTGAGATATGGTATGTCTAGGCCACCTTCCTTTGCATTTTTTTTCATTAATTCCCTTGATATTCTTTGACCTTTTATTTTTCCAAATGAATTTAGTTGTCATATTTTTTAGCTCTATAATTTTTTTGGTAGTTTGGTATGGTACTGAGTAAGTTAATTAATTTAGGCAGAATTGTCATTTTTTATTATACTGACTTGGCCTATACATGAGCAATTAATATCTTCCCAAATGTTTAGATCTGATTTTAATTGTGTGAAAAGCCTTTTATGTATTCATAGAATTCCTGGGTTTGTTTTTTCAAGTAGACTCCCAAGTAATTATTATTGACTAGAGTTATTTTAAATGGGATTTCTCTTTCTATCTATTACTGTTGGTTTTTGTTGGTAATATGTAGAAATGTTGATGATCTATGTGGGTTTATTGTATATCTTGCAATTTTGTAATTTTGTTAATTATTACAAGTGTTTTTTTTAGTTTATTTTCTAGAGTTCTTTAAGCATACCATCATATCTGCAGAGTGAGTTTTGTTTCTTCATTGACTATTTTTAATTCATTCAATTTCTTTTTTTATCTCTTATTGCTAAAGCTAACATTTCTAATCCAATATTGAATAAGAGTGGTGATAATGGGCATCTTGTTTCACCCCTAATCATATTGGGAAAGCTTTTAGATTATTCCCACTATAGACAATGCTTGTTGATGATTTTGGATAAATATTACTTGTCATTTTAAAGGAAGCTCCATTTATTCCTATGCTTTTTATGTTTTTACAGGAATGGATATTGGATTTTTTCAAAAGCTCTACTTCTACTGAAATAATTATATGATTTCTGTCCTTTTTTTAATTGACATGGTCAATTATGCTGATAGTTATCCTAACATTGAATCAGCCCACCTGGTCATAGTGTATGATCTTTGTGATAAGTTGATACAATCTCCTTGCTACTATTTTATCTAAAATTTTTGCATCAATATTCATTAAGCAAATTGGCCTATAGTTTTCTTTCTCTGTTTTGACTCTTCCTGGTATCAGTACAATATTTGTGTTATGAAAAGAATTTGATAGGACTCCGCCTATTTTCCTGAATAGTTTGTACGGTATCGCAATTAATTCTTCTTCAACTGTTCTTTGGTAGAATTCAGTTGGAAATTCATCTGGACCTTGTTTTGTTTTTGTTTTTAGGGAATTCAATGATTGTTCAATTTGTTTTTCTAAAATGAGGTTATTTAAGAATTTTATTTCATCTTCTTTTAATCTAGAAAATTTATACTTTTGTCAATATTTATCTATTTCACTGATATTGTCAGATTTATTGACATACAATTAGGCAAAATAGCTCATAATTATTGCTTTAATTTCCTTATCATTGGTGATAAATTTACAATTTTTATTTTTGATACTGGTAATTGGTTTTCTTCTTTCTTTTTTTTTTTAATCAAGTCAACCAATGGCTCATTTATTTTCTTTTTCATAAAACCAACTCTTAGTTTTATTTATCAGTTTTCTTACTTTCAATTTTATTGATCTCTCCTTTGATTTTGAAGATTTTCAGTTTGGTGTTATGTGGGGGTTTCAAATTTAATCTTTGGCTAGCTTTTTTAGTTGCATGCCCAATTCATTGATCTTTAAGCAATTAGAGATATAAATTCTCTTCTAAGTACTGCCTTGATTGCATTTCATAAATTTTTGTGTGTTGTCTCATTGTCATCATTTTCTTTGTTGAAATTAATGATTGTTTCTTTTTAAAATTTATTTATTTTTAATTTTCAACATTTCCTTCCACAAGATTTTGAGTTTCAAATTTTCACCCCATCTCACCCCTCCCCCACCTCCAGATGGCATGCATTCTGATTACCCCTTCCCCTAGTCTGCCTTCCCTTCTATCTCTCCCCACCTTCTCTTATCCCCTTCCCCTTCTATTTTCCTGTAGGGCAGGATAGATTTCTGTAACCCATTTCCTGTATTTCTTATTTCCCAGTTGCATGTGAAAACATTTTTTTTAAACATGTGTTTTTAAAACTTTTGGTTCCAAATTTTCTCCCTTCCTCCCTCCCCACTCACCCTCATTGAAAAGGCAAGCAACTCAATATATGTTATACATATGCAGTTATGCAAAATACTTCCATAATAGACATGTTGTGAAAAACTAACTCTATTTACCTTAATCCTATCCTGTCCCCCATTTATTCTATTCTTTCTTTTGACCCTGTCCCTCCTCAGAAGTATTTGCTTCTGATTGCCCCTTTTCCCAGTCTTCCTTCCTCTCTATCATCCCACTACTCTCTTGTCCCCTTCCCCCCTATTTTCCTGTAGAGTAAGACAGATTTCCAATTGAGTGTATATGTTATTCTCTCCTTTAGTCAAATCCTATGACAATAAGATTCACTCATTCCCTCTCACCTTCCCTGTTTCCCCTCCTTTGTAAGAGCCTTTTCTTTTCTGGTTTTTTGTGATTTAATTTATCCTATTCTACCTGTCCCTTTTTCCTCCTATTATAATCCTCTCTCACCCTTTAATTTTATTCTCCAGATATGACCACATCATCTTCAATTCACCCTGTGCTCTCTCTCTCTCTATCTATCTACCTACCTATCTATCTATCTATCTATCTATCTATCTATCTATCTATCTATCTATGTATCTACATATAATTTTTTCCCCTCCAACTACCCTAATACTGACAAAGGTCTCATGAGTTACAAATATCATCTTTCCATGCAGGAATGTAAACAGTTCAACCTTAATAAGTCTCTTAAGATTTCTCTTTCCTGTTTACCTCTTCATGTTCCACTTGAGTCTTGTATTGGAAAGTCAAATTTTCTATTCAGCTCTGGTCTTTTCATCAAGAATGCTTGAAAGTCCTCTGTTTCACTGAATGACCATTTTTCCCCCTGAAGGATTATACTCAGTTTTGCTGGGTAGGTGATTCTTGGTTGTAATCCTATCTCCTTTGGCCCCCGGAATATTACATTCCATGCCCTGCGGTCCCTTAATGCAGAAGCAGTTAAATCTTGTGTTTTCCTGATTGTATTTCCACAATATTTGAATTGTTTCTTTCTGGCTGCTTGTAATATTTTCTCCTTGACCTGGGAACTCTGGAATGTGCCTACAATATTCCTAGGAGTTTTCCTTTGGGGATCTCTTTCAGGAGGAGATCGGTAGATTCTTTCAATTTCTATTTTGCCCTCTGGTTCTAAAATATCAGGGCAGTTTTCCTTGATCATTTCTTGAA